GAGAGTTATTCCCGGCCCAGGTATACCCCCCCCCCCATTTTTTCGATGCATTGTTCCTCTTAGTTTTCCTATTGATTTTTTCCCATCAGGTTATTTTCATTATACTTTATAAGAGAGAACATATTTTTTTATTTTGTGTTTTCTCTATATCAATTAATTATTGTCTAGTCATTGTAAGGTTACACTAAAAAGGTATGCCGATGATACAAAAGCGTTATTCAATCAATTGACTGATTGACTATTGATGCATTCGCAATACCGTATTGATGAAGCCTAAATACACATTGTAGAAACGTTTTGAAAGTTTAAATCCGGTTTTACATAAGCAATACAGGAAAGAAAACAGGATATCTTTATAACATGCTTCCTCTTTTGGAATTTTGATATCACACCTTTTTCCTAGTCGTTCTATATACCCATATTTCATCCACAAAAAAACACTATTATTTCTGTACTTCTACAGTACTTCGGTAATTCTCTTCTACGATAGGCCTACTACTGAAAGGTCCACTGATTAATCGCAGATAAGAAAGTATAATACATACTCCAAGTATTGAAATACACGCCATCGTGTTGGGATTCAATATTTCGACATTAATTATGTCATCATACGCCTACTTTTANNCTTTTATTTCAAATTGTGTGTTACGGTTGATGGTAGCAAATACGCCTATATCATTAAATATATTTCATTTAATTAATGTTATTTAATTTGTTTATCAGAAAATTAGGTTAATTTATGTTTTATAAAGTATGCGTATATATATAGGCTTAGCCCAACTGGCATTCAATTAAATACATTAGAAACACTGTTTTGTCTCGACGTCGTAATAATTATGTACGAAAGTGTATTCTTCAGGCCTATCAGTTCATCGATCTATGGAAGAAAGAATCCAACTACTCAATAATGTTGGAATATTGAATACATGCCAAGTTGGAGATAGCTAGAGACTTGAGATTTAACAGGAAATAACTCAATTGACGTGAGTCGAGGGCCCGTCCAAGGGCCCCGTGTTGGGCTTAGATGCTCTCTGGGTACCGTACTCTGAATATATCTAGTGCTGAAATTAAACCTTAAAAATGAGTAGCTATAACAGGAACGATAGAATAATCTCACTACAATAATTATAATTACAATAATAATAATAATAATAATAATAATAATAATAATAATAATAATAATAATAATAATAATTCATAATAATAATTTAATATTGGTTGCCTTTTTGCCCTTTAAACCTGTTTCATTTTGCTGTTATTGTGATATGGGTCTATTTGTTGAAAAATGTTTAAATGTTGATTGTTTAGATTTTTCTGCTTGAACCCTTTACTTTTATAAAATTCAACCCATTTTGAGTGATGAATAAAGAATGATTTGATTTTATTTGAATCAATCGGAGACCTAGAGATCCCCACGTTTTAGCGCGCACAGAGGCTACCACCAGTTTAGGCAACTGAGCTAAGCTGCTCTGCTACCTGGTTATAAATCTATAAGGTACCATTCCAATAGTTAATAATAGGCTCTATTACAGTAACACTATTAAAATTCAGAGACGGACAAAAATTTACTTTTGCCATAATATATTGTACAGCAAGCTACGACTTCTGGATCACTTTTTCTTCAGGTCATCTAATAGGCTTGAAAATATCAATATAAAGACGTTTGAGTAACAAAATTCATTGATTGTTTTTAATAAAGTGTTACTTTAATACCAAAAAATATGTTGCTCTGAAACATGATAAGGCCAATCTGAATAAAATGACCCGATCGTCCTTTAAGGTCCAATTGATGATGTTGCAGGCGTTATTAGTAGGCCTTTAATGTATACATTATTTTAATCGATTTCAACATGCTGTGTATAATATTTAATAATAGGCCTACTATGAAGGATAACCATGTATTTTATTCTTTATTTACTGACATATTTAAAGTCGGAGGCGGACTTTAAGGTGGGTAGTTATGCAGCCACCCGGGACTTATACATTTTTTTTAAATTAAAAGAAAATATTTTGTCAAAAGCAGTTGTATTATTAGATTGCTCGGTAGTAGTAAGTAGGGGCCCATCGCCTTTCAGGGACTCATGACATGGAGGAAGTAAGCGTTTCCCTAGAAAGAACACAGGCATTACATAACTGGTCAAACCTCCATAGTGGGGCATCCAAGGGCATAGTTTAAAGAACCCCTTCTAATAAATCTGCCAAATATTGTGTTTGTGGGATTTTGGTCTATTTGGTTTTTTTGGAAATTATAGAAAATGTTACGTACCGGTATTGTTAAGGCGTTGTAGGAGAGTACTGAGTGTCAGTGTTACTGTAAGTATAAGTAGTGGCCTGTCCAGGGCCCATTTGGACTCGGACTTCGCCCAGAAAGCACATGCGTTACTTAAGGCTTGGTAGTAATGTGTTAGGTAGTAGTAGGAGTGCA